ATTGTTGCGCATCATCTTCGAGCGCTGACCTGTCCTGTTCTAAAGCATACGCTCGTCCTTCCAGCTCGAACGTTCTGTTCCGATGCTCTTGTATCGCGAGTGATGCTTGCTCACCTTTGGTTTCGATTAGCTGTTCCAGCTTCCTGACCTTTCGTTTCGAGTCGCTTGATACTGGAGTTTTGGGTGTTGGTGTCCTTTCGTTGTCAGCTCTTCCTGACGCCGTTCCCTCAAAGGTCTCTTCCAACTTCTCGTTAAAATTCGTCTTCATCATTCCATCCGTTAGATTAGCTTCCTTCATCTCAGTATGGAACATTTTTATCGTATCATCTTCATCGTCGGTAAAGTATTTCTCATCGCTTGACGCGAAGCTGGTACCATTTACATCCAGCTGCTCTCTCGAGTCCATTGAGCTATTTGAATGGTCATCAGCTTTGACCTTTCCTTCGTCCCACAGCCCGTTGCCGTTGAACTCGTCACCCCCTTCGGTGACCTTCAGACTGACTTCGTCGTCTCCTTTCTTTTGCTGATCCGCGGTTTCCTCATTGACCTTTTCGGCCGACCGTGACATTCCTTTGGTCTCGGCCTACAGGTCTGCTTGATTTCGTTTTTCGACCGCCGGTAACTCATCGGTGACCTTTGACTGGTCCACCGTGCCGCCTCCGGTATGTCGCCCGGAGTTTTCTTCACTTCCGTCACTCCAACTTTCTTGGTTTTCAATCGCTTTCAGAGCCGTTTGGTATGTGGTTTCTGAGCCTTTGGAGTCCTTTCTTGCAAAGGTCATCTGAGCTAGAGTTGCCCGATCGTGTTCCACTGGCCGTTTGTACGGCTTTAATTCCCTTTTGTAGGGATCACTAGCACCTTGCGAGTTCTTAGACCGTTTTCCCTGAGAACTGCCGGAGGAGATCGGTTCGTTACCGTCTCTTTCTTGATCTATGTTTTTGCTTGTTTTGGGTGATCGGATATCTTGGACGATGCGGTCAAGGTCTCTCACACGTGTGCTAGATTACGTTACGCGAACTTTCACACGTGAACAGAAACAAGCGCTGTCTAAAAGGTCACTCCTTCTTGTACAAGCTAAGTTGCTAAAGGTCACGCTGCCTCCAAAAAAGCTAAAGTCCTTTATAAAGGTCATTTTCGTTTTCAGATATCTGACAAGGTCCCTCTCTAAGGTCACCTCCTTCAGCAAGGCTCTTCTCAGAAAATTCATCAGCCGTTTCAGCTTAACCCTTACTTCAAGTTAATAAAGGTCACTTTTTAGTTTTGGGACTTTTTCTAGTTAAAGGTCACTGTCAGCTTTGATCAAAACGCTGAACTAACGTATTTTGGTTTTTAATTAGAAATTTACTCGGCCAAACTTAAAGCTCTCATAAAATCTACTTCTAATCATTTTCGATAAAGGTTATCATTTCCGTCAAAATTTGTGGTGATGGTCACAATCTCGCCAGTCGACTCAGAAAAACTTTTCAGCTACCCACGCCACGTTCGTGGGCGCCGTGCGCAAAATCTCCGCCTTGACTCTAAATCACAGCTTCTTATTGGCTGACTGCTATGCTAACTATCGGTTTACTGCTGCGCCAATTACAGCGTTAGTAATCGACTAATCAGATACGTTGTTTTTCCATTTACAAGGCAGAGTGACGTCACATCGAAAACTGAAAATTTTTGCTAGCGCGCCGTGCGCAAAAGTACCGCCGACTTCTTCGCTCAGCTCATCACCGATCAGTGAAATTTAATGATTTCACCTATGAGCCAATGGCTGAATTAAGAAATATTTTCTAGCCTTACTGGTATCTGTGATCCAGAAATCGATCCTGCGCGTCCTTCCGCGTCCTCCCGAAGATCTTCCAGCGATTATACTGACTTTTCCTGCGCCAGTCGCTAACCCGTTCCGTCTCGTATCGACGGGACGCAACGGTGCGTCGACCAGAAAGCTTGCTGGCTGCGGGTCTTCTGCTGAGCCGTGGCGATAACTGCAGCAGGGGCGCTCGACCACCCTTTTGGGGAGCGCGGCTTGGTGCGCGCGCCTTCCTACGAAGCGTCGTGCAGGTGACACGCCCGACTGACCAAAAGTGAAACGCACTCGTGCCCCCCCCCCTTCGGGCTCTTGCCTCTTCTGGCTTTCTTGTTCGCGCTTTCCGCGCGTGTGCCCCTCCAGTCAGAAGCTTCTACGAAGCTCTGACCGTGACAGAACGACTACTGTGCCTTCTTCTAGGAAGGGACACTGCTTCTTCAGTTCTGTGACTGATCCGCGCGTCCTTCTCCGACTGCTTCATCAGCGAGCACTGCCTCGCACACTTTTTCCACTCCGTTTTGGACGGGAAAACTGCAAATATCCTGGAGAACACAAACTCTGCTACCATATGAGGCGGGAACCTGGCAGGATTCACGCCGTAGAATCGGAGTTAACGTAACTCCGTCTACCAAACAGATCTGGCAATGCTATAACGTCTACGCTATGGAAAAGCGAAAACAATACGTCACTGCTAGAAATTTATAACGTGACTAATTTCGACAGAAATTCCTCGTGGATAACGTCGGATTTCTGACTGCAGCAAGCGCACGTAACCGCTACAATGTGCGGTTGCACACAGAATACCATGTGTTCGCCACATGTAAGGCGGGGGCGCAACAAAACACAACAGACTGCCAAGCGAGGGCGTACGCAATGTACGCCTGCGCTCATACTCCTATTCCGTAACATGCCGCGTGAGATTGCAACATAACAGTAAATCCGCATTACAGTCCGATTTGTACGCAAAAGAATTAACACCACTAAGTTTATTATTATTAACATCATCGTTGCTGTCAGCACGGCTATAATTTTGAAAAAATGTCTGATACGTTTGTAGAACAGTTTAAAGGAACTAACCCGTTGCTGCATCAGGACGCGCAGCAAAATTAGCCGTTTCCATTTCCTCTGCGCTGGCCGAATCCAGCGCTGTACAGGTGTTATGGCGGGCCGATTGGAAGGTTGTGGCTTTTACGACACACTTACCATCGGTGGTGCCTCCCGTAGCACCACCGGCAAATATGGGGAAACTACAGTTGGGCGCGTCGCACTCGTGGTTGTTGTAGCGCCAACACGAGATCTGTTAAGTGGTTGTGGCTTTTACGACACACTTACCATCAGTGGTGCCTCCCATGCTTTCACCGGCAAATATAAGGAGAAACTACAGTTGGGCGCGTCGCACTCGTGGTTGTTGTAGCGCCAACACGAGATCTGTTGAGGTCCAGGCGTCCAAGGAGATCACGAAAGGCCGGCTGGTTAGGAACGAATGTACGGCTTGGTTCGGGCGGAAAAGATTCTGTGCATCGTACGGGCGGTTCCGCACGTTACCTGGAACCAAAAATCGAAATTAATCGCTGAAAGTTCGATTTTTGATATGTCTTCGCCTGATTGATCTTGCAATAAACAAATGTATGCGCTCGAGTTAAACATCTCGCCGATTTCTGTGCCGAAAAATGTAGCACATTGTCTAGCTCATGCGGGCGGAGAAGTTCTCGGTTAAAACCCGGTGATTGGTTTGGTGGGAAAACGTCACGTCTACAGACACATACAAACAACTAAAACTATGAAATACGTATATCAGCGGTTTATATATATTCTAGAGCTTTATTACCACGAACAGAAAAAATTGCATACACCAATGCCAGAATCCCAGACCGAATTAACAAAAACCACTGCTATCATCGGAAAGCCCATGTTCTAAAACGCGGCCAGAGGGTGTTCGTTTTTTTCGAAAATGCATTCAAACGACCAAACAAATCACCTCCACAAGCCGGGTCTGCCATGTAAAGTTAAAGTTCATCCATACTTAAGAATAGTATGTCTATACTTAAGAAATTACTGTTGCTACGTTAAAAATATTATGTTTGAAAATAAGTGACCTCAAAGAAGACAAATATTCGGCTAATCCCATAAGGGATTAATTGGGTCTTATGGGATTGAATATTGATTACCCACTTCTAATTGTCGAACATAAGAAAATGCGTGAAACGTAAAACCTTTTCATCTTACTGTTAACCATTTCGGGGAAACGTCGAAAATATTACGCTGATCAGAAATCTTTCAATCAGAAAATCGCTGACAAAAATCTGCATCATGTACCCAGACAGGCATTCAAATCGTAAAATGCAATTGTGCAAAATATAGTACGAATCACTACGAGGTAATTAGTACTCATTTCACTGACCCAACACACAAAATACTCGTAATTACACTGAATGAGTGACCAAACTACCACCGCTATCTAGTGCGCACTTCCCGTTAGGTGAATGAGTGACCAAACTACCACTGCTATCTAGTGCACACTGCCCGTTAAATGAGTGAGTAACCAAAGTTTGGTTCATAAACTACCAGTGCACACAGTCCGCCAGGTTAAATTTTTCGCACTATTGGAGTTCATTAACTGTGCTACGCCAGAATCCAAGATGTTAATACGTATACGGTATACCTATACAGACCCACTTAGGACCACAAGAAATGCGGAGGCGAAGCTGACGTCATTTCTTGTACTTTGTTATGTCCAGCTTGGGCATCTCCGCATGGTGATCCTCCATTACAAACAAGAATTGTTTTTGGAACTTGTAATCGTAGTGAATAATCATTGTTGTTGCACACAAAGGAAACCAATAAATAAAAACCATTAGAAGGTAATATGACAACATCCAGGATATGGCATTCTCTGTCGGTTATAAGCAGATTTGTCCCGACAGACAAAGCACATTTATAAGTATGCGTGGTTGTGTATGCCGTGTCTGCTGCCTCAGATTGGATTTAAATTGTAAAACCAGATTGTGTGCAGACGGTAAAGTGTAAACAATAAAACTAACCCGCTATTCTTAAAGACTGAAAATTCAGCAGCAGCACAATAGAGAAATAGGTAATGCATTTTTGATTTAAAATACGTATGCTTCTCTAAAAGTTCATGCCCAGACTCTTATCTGTTTCAAACAGCCCCTTCCGACCTGCGTTTGCACAACTAGGTCCTAGTAGTGCAGTGATATCGTGAGCGATGTGCAAATTCCGTAATTTATGTAGAACTTGACACTGATCAAAAACAAAATCCACTATTTGAGAGAAAGGATTTTAAACTTCATTTATAGGTGTCCAGGTTTTGCTGACTACTTAGGTCGTAAAGGCTTTTCATTTTTTCTTTTGAGGAACGCTGCTATGGTGAGCTATTTTTTCTTTCATACCGGTAGCTCTTTAGTAATGTTTGAAACAGCAACTGGTGCTGCCTTTGGATGCAGTTTATCAATTGTTTGCAGAAGCAAAACGATATGCTGAATCTTTCCTTCATCCAGTACAGAAGAAAACCAAATTCTATCGAACTTCTGATAACTGGCTATTTTGTGTCCATGAAGACTCGGACTCAATCCTCTGGAGTATTCTTCAGAATACCATGCGAAATGGTCAACTCTCAAGTCATCCAGCAGTAATGGAACTGATCTACCGGTCAAATTTTTACAGAAATGCACGTAAGGGGCGGAACAATTTTCTGGGCGATACAGAGACTTCCCAATAGCGTGGGTGCACAAATGGCTGTCGTTTCCGCAAATCTGCGTTTGTCTGATTTGAAAATCTTTCTCGAGATCCGGATGAGGGGCTCGAAACCGGCAGCGATCAATTAACAAAGGAAATCCATTTTTTATTTTATTAATCGGCACATACTGAAGGACTGTAAACTGTTCATGTGGATCCCACCAAATCCTGCTGCGGAAGTCTTTGCTTAACCCAGCTGTTCCGAAACGGACTGCTAAAACTGAGTAAGCTGTGACATCTATACGGTCTTTGGATTTAGCTTCGTGATCCAAAAATTTTAGGATGGTGCCATGTTTCGTAGAATAAACGAACTCGTCCACATCAATTATCATAAGCCACTCAGTCAAACGGCGAAGTCTGTTAGTGCAGTGATCGATCATTGGAAACTGGTTGGCATAGTGATCGAAATATCCATGGTTACTCTTTCTGTTTTGTCGCAGGAAGTTGATCGGATAAATTTCCACCAGTCCGTGAAATCCATTTTCTTGTAAGAGTACAGGTAAAGTTAAAACATCATTGTCGCTCATATCATCGTATAACAAAAAATGTTCAACGCCCTGGTTATAGTGGAAAAAAATCCATTCAATTGTATAGGCGATTGGGTTTCTAGTCATAGCGCAAATCGAAATGCGCCACCGAAAGCTTCTTTCGGTTTTTTCGCCCTGTGGTGCGCCACTACTCATAGTAGAGTGATCAAAATTTCCAAAACTACCATAAGCTGATGGCATGAGCGTTATCGCTATCAGAATGTGCACTTTCGATGCAGCTCCCGTGAATATCATATTTAAACACTATGGGTACGCTGTTAGGTTACCGCACTGCTGTCGTTGAATTGAGGGAAACAAAATTCTTTACTTTCGAATTCAGCTAAAGCACGCCCAGCTTCATTGGTCGATTAAAAGAACAACGCACGCGCAGTTACGTAAACACTTTGATGGCTCTCAATACGGCGCTTCACTTCAGGCTATGCTAGAGCCGCTAATTGTATAAAGAAAATTTTAAGAGCGCGTCTCAAATTTAACCATATCTTATGGTTTAATTAAACAGTTGACTTTTGTTAGCTATATGAAGCCGTACGCCTACAAAAACGATCTGCGAAGCCATCTCATGAGGCACAGCTGCTGTAGCTCAGACACCTTCGTGCCGAATATGATTCGCATGTGGCCGCAAGAATGTTCACATGTTCAAAGTTCACGCTCTGAGCATATTTCCGCGCTGTAAACGTGGACTGTTTCATAAGACATCGTTTGTGTTATCACGTAACACTTTCTGTAAAAATAACGGAATCCGGTTTTGGCAGTCTAGATCACGAGCTTTGGTGTTAAGGTGAAACCGCTGCTCGAATCGCAGGACACCGACCCAGGGGTCCAAAATGTTGTCTTGCGATGTTGGCTTAGCTTGGTTTAAATCACCGCGATTCGGGAATGAGGTCAAAACTGTACCAACAACGCAGCTGTATAAGTGTTACCACTGCGAGTATAAGTATGGAGCACTCAATAATAAAACTGGTCTTAACAGCACTCTTTCAAAGATCTTCCATATGTAATGAAATTATTAAAACCTTTAAGGTTTTTTCCCAGACGAAGAAAGCGTAAACATTCCCGGATGGCACGCGTGCTCGCATGAAAATCTCCGCCTGGCACTAATAATCACGAGTTTTTAAACAAACAAGGGATGGTCAACGGCGCGCTCGGTTATGTACGCGAATATGTTCATGGTTAGGTACGGGACATCGTCACATCGGTTATGCACGCGCGGTTGTGTAAGCGATGTGATATTCGCCAGGTACACCAAGCGGATACCTTGCTGTACACCGTGTTGGTGGAGTTCGACAAGTACCCCGTCCCAACACTGGAGAAAAATCATTGTGTTCCCATGGTGTCCATTACAACTCAGTAGAAGGACAAGTCGGAGTAGTCTATCAGAATGCCAGTAGGTACTTTCAGCTCTGACTGCCTTATGATAATGCAGCCCAACGGACTGTGCGTCATGCTCCTATGTGTCATTCCGAGATAACGCAAGCGTTGTGCATTGGTTTGTTGCAACAGTCAACACATGCCCACTTTAAGGCAACATTGCCCAACGGTAAATCTAGTCTCGACTAGATTTTCCGTTGGGCATCGTTGACTTATCCATGAACTGCGCGTGTTACACGCTGTAGACGGTGTATCACAAGCTGGGGCATTCATATATCGCAGCCGTTACCGATGCTGTGTTATCGCATTATTGGATAGTTTTTCTGTGAGTCAAATGTGATTACTCATGGTTTTGACTTATCGTAAGTTAAACTTACGATAAGTCGGAGTGTGCTGAAATTCCTTAGTGACTCTGAGCCTAGCGTGGGTGATAACTATTCACAAATCACAGGGTGCGATACGCAACCACGCCGTCGTACAGCGGAGCTAGGGAGTTTGCCTCAGGTTTAAGATACGTTGGATTTTCTCGTGTTAAAGCATGGACAGACAGAGCGCAATCGAGCCAATGTTTTCATACAATTCATTGCAAAGAGATAAAACCAAGAAGACCAGCATGAAAAGAGCCAGTGAACTGATTGGTTAAAAAGCCTGCAGTAATTGATCATAGCGCACTGAAGGTCCTTTAATTCAACAAAAATAGAATACTGTCTGCCGGTTCCGGTCACAAGAGAAAAACAGAAAAAGGTTACGCATGCAGAAAAGGGAAACGTCTACGAGCGATTAAAAAATTCCAGTAGACGAACAGTGTTTATAAGCCTGCAGGTAGGAAAGGAGCAGGTTCAGCGTGTAATGGCCGGGTACTAACAGCCGCAAGTATTCGTACTGCGCTTTGGAACGGTGAACATTCGATCTAAAATGCACACCTGTGGTTCACGTCGAATTATCTCAAATTTTGATAAACTTAAATTAAAAAAACTTTGCTTATGAACTTCGAATCATAAGCACTAGTGCGAGTACTTGTAATTTCCATAAAATCAAATTAACTGAGACCCAAGTGGGTGCAATTCAGAAGAACCGGCTTTCCACGTTTGTCACATAATTTTTAAAATTTTCTACAAATTTCGGTTTGTTTTGATAACCTGACGACAACGAAAACAAATCAACAAGCCAGTCGTTTGCTTAGCAGTTATTTATGTAGGAAAGCGCTTTTTCAATGTGACCAAAATGCACGAGAAAATGGAAGATGCAGGGAGAGAACGGTTATGAAACTGAATTCGCAAAGCTGATGCGGTTGTTGCACGCAGGCGAAAAGAAAATTATCAGAAGGTAATAGTATGGATCTCGGACAGGCTCCACATTACTTCCACGAGTAGTGAAACCGCGTTGCCCTGCTGAATTTCTAATGACAACCGGTGGCGGAAAAATTCATGGGAGCGAAGTTCAACCGTATGGAGGTACAGTATTTGCCGATTTCGTTCACTAAGAGTATGGCTAGCTTCCCCCATGGCCCAAGAGTTTCGCAAACTAGTAGAGAGAAGACATAACTACCCTCCAAATACGAGTACAATCGTACTTGTTTATCTTCGGCCTGTGCAGCAGCAGCTCCTGCGATAAATGACGTGGATTTCAGTTGAGACAGCGCAGCGATATCCACGCAGGTCACGTCTCATGCCAGGCATATACCGCGCTTCCAGGCAAACGGTGTGTACCCATCTGGACGACGATGGGACGTGTGGGATGTACGGCACCACGGGGTTCCAGCTGTGCCGGGTGATGGCTGACACTAACGATGTACACACAATTCTATTCAAACCACCGTGGCTTGCGTGTCTCCCAGCGGAAAAGGAGCAGAATGAACCTGGTGGCCAACACATCCTCGGACTTGTAAAACTTCCCTCGTGAATGCGGCTCGCAGACATTTACGCCAGTATCAGACCGACTAAAATCTTCAGTATGTCTTTGTCAGGGAGATTACCAATGAGTGCGGAAGGTAAGGCTTTCAACTATAGGCCTGCTTCCGATGTTGATCGAGCCATTAAGCGAGCACGATTGACCTAGTCGTCGCGAAAAATGTCCAGCAGAACTCACAAAGACACATTGCACAGCGGGAGGTCCCATTTGCGTTGTGCTTTGCGAAAGGCTGATTCGGGAAGATCTGGGAGACGCGCTTTTACTTCCACAGTTCCAAGGCGCTGTAACCAGGGAGCAGTAATGATAGTAAGTCAGATGTGGGATGTGTCGAAGCCAAACAGGTTGGAGTGTTAATTCCTCCGCTCGACGAATGCCAGTGCTCCATTTTCCTGTTCATTACGAGTCTGCTGCCTGGGCGTTGGTCTGAACCCAGATCGTGTGCTGGCGTTAAGGAAATAAATTTCGCCTAATTAAATTTAGCCCACAAGCTTTCTTGGTTTGAAAAATTAATAATAAACACACCTTGTAACGGACAATGGCGATGAGCTCACGATGCGTCTTTATTAGACAATAAAAGCTGACAATATTGCGTACTAGCAGGAAGAAAAAACAAAGGCACGTGTGGCCAAATTTAGCAAGTGTATGCTAAACAGGCTTCTTGAGCGTCTCGTTGGCGAGTAAGTGTTGAATGAATCCTGCCGGCAAGCACGTGCGCGATGCAGGCCACGACCTGATTCAGCTGTGTGATGCGAAGACTGGACTCCACCCAACGCGAGCGTATGAACGCTGAGTAGTACTGCGAGAGAAGGACGAGAGAGCAAGTACAGCTCAGTGTGGCGCACGCGGTATATCCACTTCAGTGGATGAGTGCAGTGCAGCGTGGCACGTACGTACAAGAGATAGGCGATGCAGCAGGTAAGTGAGTGCATATATGCTCTCTGTGAGCGGTACGCACCACGCACAGGCTCGTATGCCTGACATGCCTCTGTGCGGGAATCCGAGCTCCCGCGAAGGATGGTCAGACTCGGTACCGCACCAGGACCGCGCAACTCTCCGGTTAGACTTATTGTGGGGTCGCCGGTACGCGTACTCTGGCAGCAGAGAGTTCGGTGTCGGTCGACCGTTCCGTGCTTCACCTCCGAACCCGTTAGATGCAAGCAGCTCACGGTTGAAAAATACGGAAGGCGCTTGTGCGTTTCGTTGGGCCGGTGATGCATCTGTTGGCTTCCTTGTTGCGTCGGTTGGCATCGGAGAACAATGTAAAAATGTTATGAAAGTTATACAGCGCGAAAGAAAAATATGAAATAAAGTTTTTTTCACATTCCAGTGAGCAAAAGGTAGAACAGATTTGTCAAAGAGATCGAACTAGAAAATACAATTCCGTTTGTTAGGAAAGAGTTCTAAAAAAAATGCAAAAATCTGTCCGGGGGTCCTATTCCGACTAGGATGACGTCCACGGGGTGCTTGAGTCGCCACGGGGTCTCCTGTCCAATCTCATCCGATAAGTTGGGTCCGGGGCGTCGGTTCCCGAGTTACCCGTCGTAACCGGTTACAATCACCGAGGTCGGATAAGCATGATTCGCACTTACTTCCGACTCGTATCCGTCCGTTGGAAAGAGAGAGGCACTGTTGCTGTTGCAAATGCCGAAGCATCCTCTCTGAATGGGGGAATTAGACCGAGGTCGGTTGACCAAGGTCGGACTATCGGTAAGTCGACCGGCGGCATGGAAATCGGCTATCTTCCGAATTCCGAGGTTCAGGTCGGAAAAAGCTGTGCTTAAGTTATGCAACCTTTGTGGTCGTCAAGGACAGCAGTTCCGTTCAAAAGTGGTCGTAAAACCGCTAAATATGCTACCACGAGCCTGGTTATGGGGTTATCCGAGTCGAACTTGCTCGAAGGTCCGGTCGGAAATCTTTGGTTTCTTCCATGAAAGTGTCCGGTCGACTTCCTCCCGATACGTTCTGTTGTTATCCGACCTGTAGTCGGGCACAATGTTGTGCGACTCATAATGGTATCCGACTCATAATGGTATCCCACTCATAACGGTCATAATGGTATCCGACCCGAGGTCGGTTATTCTATCCACCGATGGTCGAACAAAGTTAACCTGCGCTGGTGTGCCCTTATGGGGCTTAACAAGTCCCTTTAGGTCGGATTCGTCCATCACGAGGTGATTATCCATTTTCTTCGATCATGTTGACTGAGTTAGTCGACCCATGTTGGTCGGCTAACTTATCCGACCTTAGGTCGGGTATCCATGTGGATGTTCCAAGGTCGGCTATGTCCGACTTCCAAGGTCGGATCAAGTGTGTTTCCATACGTCCAAAAGCTGGGGTTTTTCGCAGGCAAGTCGATGTCCGACTTCTAATTCCTCTGCCGACTTGTTGTCGTGCTTTTCCGATGTTCCATTCGAGACATGGGGAAGCAGGTTGGCGGCGGAGTCGTTGATACACCAGTAGCCACCTAAACCGTCGTTGCTCCTCTTCAAGGAATGGCAGCACGTTTGAAGCGCGCGTAGTCGGTAAATCGGCTGTTGAATCCGATATCCTCCGGGGAGACGTCGGTTGGACTCCGGGTACAGGGTCTGTAGCTCTGGGTTCAACGGAGAATCCGGTACGACTTTAGACGGTTTTCGGCGCGGTCTGCGTCTTCTTCATGCTTCCATGTCCGATCCGTTCCAGATGTCATCATGCCCGATCTTTGTGATCGGCTGGGTCAGTTATTTTCCAGAGGCTACCAAGTTCACAACCGACCTTTGTGATCAGTTTAAAGTAGCGATCGTGGTTCTGCGATCTGCGTCGTTGCAGAATTTCCCAAAACCGACCTTTGTGGTCGGCTAGTGTAGTAAATCGTAATTTCATTCACGGTTTGCGGAAGTTGACTACGTGGGCTGGGTATAAGGTCGATCTTTGTGGTCGACCTATGTTCCTATAATCAAGTTAATTGCTCTGCGCTGTTGGAAGCTCGGCCGAGGGATGTCCGCTGATTCCAGTGGTGAAGATCGCTGGTCGGCTTACCCGGTTCCTAAGTTGGCCACGGGTGCTCGGCAAACATGGTGTAAAACACCCGCAGCGACGT